ACTCATGGAGGTTTTGTTTTGTTTTGTTTTTTGTTGTTTTTGTTTTGTTTTGGATATGAAGTTTTAGTTTATTTTTTAAGCACATGAGAGGAGAATGATGGGAGGAGTTAGAAGGTGGGAGGAACTGCGTATGATTGAAAAAACATTTATGTATATACAGAACCTTAGTGAATAATTTAAGATGTATTTAAATATATATATATATATATATATTTATTTATTTATATTTTTTTTTCCTCTGTGTGCCAGATGAGGGCACCAGATCTCATTATAGATGGTTGTGAGTCACCATGTGGTTGCTGGGAATTGAACTTAGGACCACTAGGAGAGCAGCCAGTACTCTTAATTGTTGAGCTATCTCTCTAGGGGTGTGTCTGTCTGTCTGTCTGTGTCTGTCTATGTGTCTGTGTGTGAGTGATCTCTTTCCATCTCCCCCCAGCCTCTAAGAATACTGATTACAGGTATGCATAACCACAACTGAATTCTTCCACTACTTTTAATCTAGACTTACATCTAAAATTGTAGTAACAAAACTTTTTAATTCTCCTTTCACATTTAATTTGTAATTCTTTTGTTTGTGTTGTTTTTGTTTTTTGAGACGGGGTTTCTCTGTGTAGCCCTGGCAATCCTAGAACTTGCTCTGTAGATCAGGCTGGCCTTAAACTCAGAGCTCTACCTCCGCCTCCCAAGGCTGGTATTAAAGGTATACACCACCACCACCTAACGCGTTTGTAATTCTTGAGCATTTAACTTCAGAGAGGAAACAACATCCTCTGCCTTCTTTCCTTCATTTTTTAGGAAGCACATAGACTGCCCCTCACTCATCCCATCTCCTGAAGGATGTAAAGTACTCTTCAAAGCTCCTAAGAAGGGTCTCGAGCAGAATGGATGGCTCAGCTGGTAGACACACTTTACTGCCAAACCTGACAAGATAAGTTCCATTCCTGGGACCCACATGGCAGAAGGAGCTACCCTAGGTTGTCCTCTGACCTCTGTACAAGCACTGGCATGGCATTCTAGCACTTGAGTACATCTGTGCATAAATGCACACTCAAATAAATAAACAAACAAACAAACAAATAAATAAATAAAATTTTTAATGTTTTTTTACAAAGAGCTTTTTTCTCTTCATTCTTTCTAATTCAGCTTCTCTGACTCTAATTAGTTGTGTCAGATGTAGAGATACATAAGTAAGAATATTCCTTTGGGGGAAGGCTGGAGTGATGGCTCAGTGGCTAAAAAGCACTAATTGCTCTTCTAGAGGAAGAAATTGATTCCCAGCACCTACATGTAACTCCAGTTCCAGAGGACCCAACATCCTCTTCTGACCTGCAGTCATAGAAAGGCATGTAGGCAAAATACTCATATACATAAACTAATTTTTAACTAACTTTTATTGAGTCTTTGTTAGTTTCACATCATGCATTTTGATCCCATTCATTTCCCCATTCCTTTACATCTACCCTCTGCCCTTAAAACATCCCCACAAAGATATAACAAAATTAAATTTAAAGGAAAAGAAAAATCTCATCATGGAAAGCTGTCATGTGACACAGTGAGTCACTTAGTATACTTTTTGGTTCATATATCTTTACTTGCAAGTATGTTTACTGCAATAAGTCAGTGGTCTGGTTTGAGGCCTCTGGTTTCTGCTCACAGTTATCGGGCCCTCACTGGGACTCCTCTTAGCTATCCTGTTGCTGTCCTGTGTCTGACTTTGGAACTATAGGACCAGCCCCTTCACCTGCTCCAGCATTTCATAGGATGGGATGAATGTTGGGGTGGGCCAACTCATAGCCCTGGTTCTGTGCCTGGAAATTAGTTTCTTGGAAAAGAAATTTTTTTCTAATTTCTCAGTTTTATTTACATAAGAGGGATTCCCCCCCCCCCCCCGCTGTCTTTGTTACTTGGAATGGTCGCTAAAATTTGCATTAGATTCTTCTTTATTGATAGCATATCTAACTTGGTCTCATTTAGGCACAGTCCACTAACCTTTGTAGTTCCTAAGCTGCTATTACATCATGGACAGACACATGCTAATGAAATTGTTCTGTCAAACTATCTTAATGGAAGAGATGAGGACTGAGCAGTGTATCAGGCCAATCTCAATGGACTAATGGTGATTGCTCCAGATGTGAAAAGAGATGACAAATAGCTACAAGACTGTTAGGGAACAGGTGCTTCTTAGGTAGGGTGGTTTTGGGGATGGCTTCCCTGTAGAACTGACAGAATGACAAGGATGAGTCATACGCTCAGAAATCTGGGAGTGGTGATGGCTATAAGAAAAAGGTCAAGGCAGCAGGAGGTTGGCAGAAACAGAACACTGGTGACTGGACCTGAGAAGGTGAGCTCAGGGAACTGGACTCAGTTGGCAGGTCTGGTTCTGTGGGCCATAGTGGAGTTGGGAGTTGATGATGATTGTAGTAAGGACCGAGCTGCTCGTGAGGAGTAGATGAATGCCAACCAGGAGGATTTCTGTCTTCAAGTGGGTGGGTGCTATTTTTTTATGAGTTAATTTCCATGTTTTGGCTCCTTGGTGTGAAGTCATTCCTCAGTCTGTGAGCTATGCCACTCTGAATTTGATTTGGGGAGCACAAACTACACCCTGCCTGGAGTGTAGGGCTGGAGTTGAAATACCTTCTGAAGCTGGAGTTAACCCTGGAAAGCCTGTAGAACACTTGTAATACTGTTCTGAGGACATGAAAAAGGACTTTGACAGTGACATGAACAAGATGACAGTTTATTGTTTGTCTTCACCAGTTATGGACCCTGTTCTAATGTGTTTCAGATGATATTAAGGGAGTAGATAGAGGAGTAACAAGGTAGGGTTCTAGTTCTGGATCTGTAAACATACAGGCTCTGTACTGATGATCCTGTGAAATTCAAAGTAGTATTTGTTTGTGTATCCATAAGTCTGTTTCAACCATTGGAATGGGATTCTGTGATGAGTATTTTAAATAGAATGCTTATTTTAGATTACTCTTTAAAACCTGAAGAAAAAAAAACAACCTTTGGGCAGTGGTGGCCTTTAATCCCAGCACTTGGAAGACAGAGGCAGACAGATCTCTCTGAATTTGAGGCCAGCCTGGTCTGCAAAGTAAATTCAGTGGCAGCGAAGGTTGAACCCTGTCTTGGGGATGAGGGGTAAATTATGGTCTTGGCCTGGGTATATGCCTTTAATCAAGAAAGTGTTCTGAAGGGAGGCAGAGCAGAGGCAGACAGATCTCTGCATACCAGGCCAGCCAAGGCCTTTGAGAGACAGTGTCTCAAAAGCAATTAATTAGCTGGGCATTGGTGATACACATCTTTAATCCCAGCACTTGGGAGGCAGAGACTGATGGATCTCTATGAGTTCAAGGCCAGCCTGGTCTACAAAGAGAGTTCCAGAACTTCCAGGGATACATAGAAATCCTCTCTCAAAAAACAAACAAAAAAGGAAAACCTTTTAAGAAATATTATTTTCTCTTCTCTGCAAAATGTAGATTTTAAAAATAGATGTGAAAAAAAAAAAATAGACATGAAAGGGGCTGGAGAGATGGCTCAGCAGTTAAGAGCACTGGCTTGTTTCCAGGGTTCTGAGATCAATTTCCAGCACCCACATGGTGGCCCACAGCCGTCTATAGTGAGATCTCATGCCCTTTATCTGGCATAAAGGCATACATGCAGGTAGAGCACTCATACATAAAATAAATAAATCTTTTGTTAAAACAGACATGAAAATAGAAGGGGAAGTATTTAAGAGGAAAGGGGGCCAGCAAGAGCTGAGGAGAGGATGAGAGTGAAAGGTTTGAATAGAATCAAACACGTACACTAGTAAAAGTATAATTGGAGAGTCTGGGGAAACAGCTCAGTTGGTGAAGTACACAGTTTGATCCATAGCACCCACACTTTTGGGTTTTTGTTTTCAAGGCAGCACTTGTAATCCTGGCATAGGCAAGTGGAAGACTGGTAGAGTCTGGTCAGTGTCCAGTCAGTAAGAATACTGATTATATAAAAAGAGGAAAAGGAGGGCAGCACCTGGGAGACAACATCCAAGACTATCCTTTGGTTTCCACAGGTCATGTGCATGCATACATACACACAAAACAAACTTGTTATGTACTGAAATGGAAGAATTGCACCTGCCCCTTCCTATTTTTGTTTGTTTGTTCATTGAGTTCTTTATTTAGATATATATTTTAGATGTAGGAGTGTTACATGTATGTATGTATGTATGTGTGTGTGTGCACCATCTGTATATGTGGTGCCAGCTTGTAGAGGTCAGAAGAGGGTATCCAGTCCGCACGCAGGATTGGACCTCCAGATAGTTGTAAGCCACTAAGTAGCTGCTGGGAATCAAACCTGGGTCCTCTGGAAGAGCAGCCAGTGCTTTTTAACACTGAGCCATCTCTCCAACCCGTTCCTATGTTTAAAGAATTTCCCTTAAATACCCCATGTGCTTGTTGGTAAGTAATAGTAATACTTGTGAATGTTCCAAAAATGTTTGTGTTGTTATAGCTTAACTTATTGGTCTTCTCATATAAAGCAAATTAATTAATTAAATATATTTCACTTTCAAACGTTCTCAGATAGGTATTAAACCTGATACCTTCAGTTTCTTCATCTACTAGAGTGATTTTTTGGGGGGGGGGGGAGAGACAGGGTTTCTCTGTAGCTTTGGAGGCTGTACTGGAACTCACTCAGTAGACCATGCTGGCCTCGAACTCACAGAGATCCACCTGCCTCTGCCTCCTGTGTGCTGGGATTAAAGGTATAAGTCAGCCAGCACCACCCTGCTTATAGGTCTGTTTTTAATTATTGACATTTTATTTTTTATTATGTGTATGGGAAGGAAGCAGAGTTATAGGCAGTTATGAGCCACCCAGCATGTACTGGGAATCCAACTCAGTTTCTGTTCAGGTGGCTCTTAGTCACTGAGCTCTCCCTCTAGTCCTAGAGTAGCTTTTTATAAGTTATTTTTATTCCCATATGCCAATAATTCTGTTTGTTCTCTTTTATAGGGAAGTCCTCATTGACAATTCAGTTTGTTGAAGGCCAATTTGTTGACTCCTACGATCCAACCATAGAAAACAGTGAGTATTGTTTTCAACTGCTTAGCCTCTGAGAAAGCATTATTTGTAGTCTTAAGGATTTGGGTGGCAGTAGGTAATGTGTTAAGTTTATATTTCTCCAATGGGGAGTTATAGAAAACTTACAGAGATTTTACTTAGAGTACCCTGAATTCTTTTTTATTCAGTGATTATGTCCTCTGACATGTAGAGTTATATCCCAATCAGTAGGAATCTGGTTCTGTATTGGTAATTCATATATAGAGTCAGCTTCAAGAAAAGGGACTTGAGAGCAGTTTTATTTTTATCCCCACCCCTCCATTCAGTAGGAGCCCTTTGTATGGATGTCAACTTTGAAAATTGAAAACCTTGTGCCTTGAGGAGCATCCTGCTCTCTGGGTCCTGAAGACTTGAAAGAGTCTGCTGGGAAGCATGCTATTCTGGGACCACAGCAGGTGCTGCAGCATTGGAAAGACGTTGTCTCTAACTTGCATTTCATATCACATTCAGGAAAGAGCACACACAGCCAGAACCAGCCACAGCCTTTACTTTGTTGGCTTAGAGAATCTTAAAGATAGCTCAAGGTCTATGCTGGTCATCAGTACAACCAGAGAATCTGCTTTGTTGGAAGCTCAGGCTGTTCTTTTTTTCTACAATGTTAGAGCCCCTGGTAGACTCTGGATCCAGGGTGTGAAGCACCGGAGACCAAATTTGCCACCAGAAGCATACATATTTTAAACAGGATTATATCGTTAGCATATTAGATGGAAGCAGATTAATGGCTAGGTTCATAATAATTAGGGTGTCAGCCTTCACTTTCTGAGCTTGCAGTAGAAACACTGAGGCACTTTGACTCTCAGTAAGAATAGAGTCTGTAGTTCAAAAAAGCTTCATGTGGGAAGAGTATGAATTTAAAGTTTCAGCATCTGTCTGGAAATGTGGGAGTTTGGATGGGTTTTCGGGATGGGGGTGTTAACTGGGGAGAAGAGAGAGAGAGAGAGAGAGTTGTATGATGGTCTCACACTGTTTGTTCCCTGGGTTCCAAGTTGCTCTCTACCTCCTAGCTAATTGCATTCTACATGTGATGTTAGGAGTTCTGGCGCATGGCTATCACTCCCAGCTTGACGGTTTAAGATTGTCATTATCACATTTTATTGTGCCTTTGGGTTTTTCTATTTTGGTGTTCAACAGTAAAGACATTATCATCATAAAGATAAATTCATAGCAATTATTCAACTCAGTAAAGTCTACAGGCAGGAGCAGAAATGTTTATCAAATCAAATAGCCCTTGAGAGTTCATGGGGCCTATTTTGTCATTGAGTTATATTTACTATACCTTCATATTCTTAACAATAGAAACCTTTATTCCATTCCTCCAATATTTGGTTTAAAAAAAAAAATTATTTGGTGATAGCCATAATCTTGAAAAAGCAGAAAGGTTCAGGCCAACCAGAGCTACACATTGAGATTTGGTTTCACCCATTGATCATTGATTGATTGAATCTAAGATCTGAAAATAATCTAGTAATTATTTTATATTTACCTTTATTATACACAATAGGTTATTAATAGCAAATGTTCAGCAGTAGCACACTCTGTGACATATCACTGTGAAACACAAATGTCATTTTCAATAGTTAGGATAATAGAAGAATTTAGCAAAACTTTGTGTTTTTTCTCTTTTTCTTTCCTTTTTTTTTTTTTTTTTAAGAGAGCTGACCAGAAGTTCTGTAATGTTAACCTAATAACGTGATAATGTACTAAACTTGGGGGATACGGTTTACAAATGACACTAGTGCCATCTCATGGTCGGTTGGCATTGTCATTTGTAGTGAAAATTGTTGGTTTGAGGCAGGATTTCTATATGTAACAGCTCTAGTTGTCCTGGAACTTGATTTGTAGACCAGGCTGGCCTTGAACCCATAGAGATTTTCCTGCCTCTGCCTCCTGAATAATGGGATCAAAGATGTGTGCCACCATTTACTGGCTGTAGTTAGGAAATTCTGATGGAGAATCTCACAGTTTTACCAAGCATGGCTTGCTGATAGATCTCTTTGGAGGTATGAATTAAGGATGCTTAACATGTCTTGATAACACTGACTTACTTTGCAAATGCCAAAATTTTAAAAACCTGTACTTTTGTTAGTGTGAGACTTCACTGAAAAATAGCTATAATCTACATTCAGACTTTACCTAGTATTCTTATATCTTTGTGGGGAGAGAGTGGGAGTATGTGAGAAAGTCTAGCTATGTAGCCTAGGTTGGTCTAGAACTCTTGAGGTCTTCTTGTCTCTGCTTTCTGGATGTTTAGATAGGTAGGTGCCACCATGCACAGCTTCGTTGTGTTCACTTTTACTTAGTCACAACATTGCTAGCATATTTTAGACTGACTGCCTTAATGGTTTTATTTTTCCTTTGATGATTTCCTACATGTGTAGAATGTATTGGTCATTTTCATCTCCATTATCCTCTCCCTTCCTCCTTGACGTCTTTGGTTTGTTTTGTTTCTTGCTAATATAATTTCTGCCTGGTGCCTTATCCTAGACACAATCCCAGATTCTGTGGTAGTTGCATGGGTCTCCCTTCTTCACTGAAACATCAGCTCAGGGTTAGAGACTTGGAGCATGTGGAACAGTGCTGCTGGTACGGTGGTACCCAGGAAGTAGTTGTAAATAAATGAACTTTTGTCCCAGTAATCTGGTCAAAACAATTGTGTCATACCTCATAACAACTACAGCTACATAGTTTTAAATAAGTATAGCTGTTTTTTTCTACTCACCAGTGGGTTTTTTTCCCCCCCCCCATAATTCTCATCAAGCCTGGAATGTGACTTTTTAATTCTAGCTGAACGGTTTCTCACAGGTATATATGTCACAGCCTCCTGGCTGACAGTGATTTGAAAGTTCCTACACTGCTATTTGACCCCAAGTCAGAGTAGAACTCTTACAGAATAAGTGAGTTATTGTTGTTTTGAGACAGAATCTTACTGAGTAGCTCCAGGTGGCCTGGAATTTGTTATGTAGACCAGGCTGGTCTCTAATCTACCTGCCTCTGCCTCCCAAACACTGGAGCACTACTACTAAAACATGTGGCACTACACCCAACTATCAATGAATTTATACTGGATATTTTCCAGTATAAATTCCAGAATTATTCTTGTTCAGTCTTTTCTGACTTACCTATTTCCTTAATGTGGCCATTTCCAGAAAAGGATAATGTCCAGTCCTTGTAACCCTCACAGCAGCCTGCTTGCATGTAGGAGCAGCTAATACAGACTCCCTCCCTTGAGCACCTGTGTTTTCATGGAATCGCCTGCCTATTTGTGACTTAGTTTTCTGAGTAATTCCATTTGTCTCTTGCTTTTCCTTTTGGTTGTGAGACAGACTGTGGCATCTTTCGTCTGTGGAAAGGTAGGCCTGTATATATTGTACAGGACAGCCAGCTGGGGCCACCAACACAAAGGAAATCTGTCCCGCTTCCTTGTGGGGCTCCAGATGGTCACATGCTGAAGTTTGTTACTGTGATTAGTCCTGTGTTTGGAAGCCTGTCCCCTTGAAATTCTGAGCTGACTTTTCTAACCCTTACTGGAAAACGGTTATGACAAATAGCCTGGGTCTTTAAGCTGAGAAAGAATGGTGGTTTCATCCCAGAACATGTGTTCCATTGCCACATTACCTGTCAGTAACGTTGTTTTGTTTCTTTGTTTTTTGATGTACTAGAGCGTCTTAGCACTTCAATTAATACTAGTTCTTTGTATTCTGATCCAGACTTCCTATGAATTAGTAGTGGGAGACTTTTGTGGTTTTGGTTCATTCTAGACTTGAGGCTTTACATAGTGTATTTCACTTGTTCCTAAGAGGAAATACTCCACAGAACAGTCAGGTTGTTTTTATAGGGTGCGAATTATTGCCTGACTACAGTTTCTCTAAGCTTGATTTTCATCAGCAATTCATAGTAGTCCAATGGAAGAAGGAGATAGTCTGTACAGTTCTAGACTTGCTCATTTTCCATTCATTGGAACTTCTGGAAAGATTATTGGGGGCTCAGTTTGATCAGTTGTCATTGTTCAAACTTGTACATAATCCAGAGTTTAATGTATTTAAACTAGTATTTTGTTCTCTTTCCTTGTAGCTTTCACAAAGTTAATCACAGTAAATGGACAAGAGTATCATCTCCAGCTTGTAGACACAGCGGGGCAGGTAAGGGATTGCCTGCAGTAGCAGGTCTAACAGTCCTGCCCACAGCATGCCTCACACACTCTGGTCTTGGGCTATGGGTATGGTGGAATGTTAATGTGCTGTCTGCCTGGGCTTTGTATGACCCATGGCACATCTCTGAGGAATTGTTTTTCTATGTCAGAACTATTTTAAACTATATTATTATCAGAGTGCGGGTTGACAACTCACTATAGAAGAATGGTTTTCTGAACTTTAATTCTGCATTAAAGAATTATCACTTCCCTCCTTCTGGCCCTCCATAATGTGTATTTTCCTATATTAAGACAAAATTTAAAAAAAAAAAAAAATTAGTGGTAAAGCTCACTTCTTGTGAGGGCTTGAGCTAGGAAACATCAGATTGGTTAGATTGTCTGGTGATCAGATTAAACTGTTGATTTGATATGAGGAGTAGTTACCAAAATCATTTCTTCCATTTCCTCCTGCACAGAGAAAAGGATACTCAGGTTAATCAGTGCAGCAGTGATGTATGGAATGCATTGCTGGGGCTACTGACTGGGGACAAAGGAGAAATAAATAAGAACACTCCAGGGAATAGAAAAGCCCTTTGACAACTTAGCTGCCTTGTTTCCATGGCACCAGTCCTGCCTTTTCTAGAAACCATTTTGTTAGACTGAATGTGTCCCAGTTCACTGGAGGGTGGGGAGTATAGAGAGGCTGGGCTTTCAGCTCTGACTTTTCCTGCCCTTGCAGCACATAGTTACAAAGAGTTAGACCAGCAGACCTTATGAGCGGTCCAATCTCTGCAATGTTTAATAGAGGCTTTTTTATGGGACCTCGGCATGTTCAAATGGACCTAAAATAATGGGGCATGTCCTGTGCTTAGAAATGAGTTCCTTCTGCTTTGTTTTGAAGTAATGATAGAAGAAGGGTGTGAAACGTGAAATAGCTAAACTGCATGATGTTAGTACTGGAGAAATGTAGAGTTTCTGTTCAGTAAGCAAATAAACCTCGAATGTGTGGGACTCTGAGCTTCTAGTGGCATGCAGTTTCCTCCTACTCTCCACAACTGTGGTGGAGCATGTGCAATCAGTCAGAAACTAGCAGTTCTATTCCCACAGACCCATTCTAGTCTTTGAAAGAATGTGTGGTTGTCTTGCTAAGGTAAGAGATGGTAACAACCCCTGGCAATGACATAGATAATATGACTCTCTTAGAAAGAACTTAGTAGGGGAGATCCCTGAGCAGGAATTGGGTCCATTTTGTTTGGGAGCTTCTCTTTGTCTTTATGGTTGAACAGATAATTTATTTCCTGAAAGAAGACACCACATTTAGTGTGAGAGAGACAGTTCCTGATGTTGTTGGTAAATGAGCTTTAAACTTACGATGTTTAGAGTGGGACTGTGACATCACCTGGACTTCAGGTTTGCTTTTGTATCTTTGGAATCTTTTTAAGCCCCTGGAAAGTAGGGGCTAAGTCTGTTGCCCCACTAAGAAGCTTTGAGTCAGGTGGGGCATGTGACATATGCCTTTAATTCTAACACTCAAGAGGCAGAGGTAGATGTGAGTTTGAAACCCTGTTTCAAAAGAGAGACAGAGACTTTGAGTCCTGGCTATTCTTATTTATCCAATGGCCCAAAGACAAAAGATGAGTTTTGTTGTGTCTACTGCTTTCCTGGTATCAGCCTGCACAGGATGGTTAGGTTGAGGTTTCTGTAGGCTTGATATTCTCTCAGACCAGACAGTGCTTTACTTGACAGGGGCAGCTAAGCAGAGCTCGGGAGGAAATGTCATCCAGTGGTTTTCCAAGTCAACACAGGTACATTCTTCTAAGGAACTGCTTTGCTCTAAACATGAGTGTACAATTTGTATCAGTCTTTAGTGGTTTTAATGATCTGATAATGCAGGTAATAAAACTGACAGGATCTTGAGTTCTCATCTTTGCTAATCTTTTCTGAAAGATTATAATCAGTGTGCAGTTCATAGCAGTGAAACATGGCATCTCCAGCTGCTGCTGTTCTACTCTTACTCCATAGAAAACTTGGAGAGTGAATCTCCTGCCTCTGGCTTCAGGATGATTAGTTCTAGGGGTGAGGCTGGAGTAAATAGTAAGGACTGACACTTTATTTTTATTTTTTGAATTTTATTTTTATATTTTATTACTATGTGTGTGGATGTTTTGCTACATGAATGTCTATGTGCCACATGCATGCAGTACACACAGAGACCAGAAGAGAGAGGTCATAGTTGTAAACTGGCAAGTGGGTACTGAGAATTGAACTTGGATCCTCTAGAAGAGCAGCCATGCTCTTAACCACTGGGCCATCTCTCTAGCTTCCCAAAAGACACATTCTTTAAAAATAATCTGTAGCTCACTAGTATGCATTTTTAGTCTCAACTGCATGAGAGGCTAAGGCAGGAGAATCACTAGAGTTAAGGACCAGCCTGAACAGTATATCAAGACCTGATCACAAAATCATTACCTAATAAATTTACACAGTAGTCTTCATATTTTAGGGAAAAAATGCACACCATAAATATTCATAATAAATAGCAATTACCTTTTACTTTGTAATTTATATCAATACAAACAGGGCCATGTGTCAATAACAAGGACACATTCTGAAAACTAGGACTTTGGGACAGAGTTCACCATTGCTGTCAAGATTATGTATTGGTGGCTAGAGAGACAGCTTAGTACTTAAGAGCACTTGCTGCTCTTCAGAGGATCTGAGTTCTTTGGCCACATTGGATGGTTCACAATTGCCTGTAACTCCATTTGTGGAGGATCTGACACCTTCTTCTGGCCTCTGCAAGTACCTGCAAACAAGTGATGCATATAAACTCATGCAGGCATACAAACATACACACAAATAATAAATCAATGTTTTTAATTTCTTTTTTAAAGGAATTATGTATTGTATCTAGCAGGAAATAGTGGTATACATCACACCTGTAATCCCAATATTCTGGAGGCTGAAGCAGGATAGTGAACCTTGCCTTTTAAGTAAAATAAATGTGCAAATGTTTCATACCACTAGAAGAACAATCTTCTAAAACCTCCAGCACTACTACAAATAGAGTATAATGCATTGTGCTACAGCAGTAACATCACTAGGCAGTTAGGATTTTCCAGTCAGTTATAATTGCTTTGTGGTTCATTGTTGACCAAAATGTCATTATAGTACATTATAGTACACTATATGACTGTCACTGTGGCTTAATTGCTCAGCTGAGGAGAATGATGAATGTGACTAATATAACTTGCTTGAAATATTTTGGTTTGGTTTTGAGATGAAATGTTTTAGTAATCTGAACAAGGGTCTGGAGAGCTAGCTCAGTGGTTAAGAACACTGACTGTTCTTCCAGAAAACCTGGGTTCAATTCTCAGCATTTACGTTCCTACCTCAAACCTATAACCCTGATCCTAGAGAAGTAGAAGCTGGAAGATCAAGAGTTCAAATTAATCCTTGGCTACATAGCAGATTTGAGGTCAAACCTGGGCTACATTGAGAGCCTGTCTCAAAACAAAAAATGTGAGCTATAGAAAAATATTTTAAAAACCTAGAGTGGCTGGGCAGTGGTGGTGCATGCCTTTAATCCCAGCACTTGGGAGGCAGAGGCAGGGGGATCTCTGAGTTCAGGGCCAGCCTGATCTACAGAGCGAATTCCAGGACAGGCTCCAAAGCAACAGAGAAATCCTATCTTGAATTTTTTTTTTCTAAAAAATGTTTTTTAAATTAAATTTCACCAAAAAATAAATAAAAACTTAATTAAGGGGCAACACTGTATTATATACCATTACTTTGATACATGATAAATATGCAAGTACAGTATTTTTCCCTTTTTTTTACCCAAAAGTAATGGATACCCGTTTTGGAGGTTATTCCATAAACATATAGCTCCTGGTGATCATATGATAGGCAGCTATTGTCTGTGTCATAATTATTGGTCTATTACAGTTTTGCCAATATATTGATTGCATTCTATAGCAATGCTGCTGTGGACATCCCTGTTATCATTGTAGTTGATGACTATTATGTATGGAAGGAAATCTTGTGTGTCAATGTGTGGGTGTTAGTAGATGTGCACAAATGTAAAGACCAGAGGTTGGTGTTGCCCATGACTTTGTCTTTTTAGGTGAGGTCTCTTACCAAATCTTGAACTCATCAGTTTGCCTCAACAAACTGGCCAATGAGCCAATGATCTGCATGTCTCTACACACAAACCAGCACTGGTGTCACAGATGCACTCTACTGCACTGTTTTGTTTTGGGATTTGTGTGTGTGTGTGTGTGGGTGGGTAGGTGGGTGGGTGGGTGCATGCTGAAGATCTCAGCTCAGTTCCGCATGCTTTGCTAGGCAAGCCATTCTTATCTTCAGATCTTTGATTCCTGTATGGAGTACATTTTTGCTGAAGAACAAATTAAGAGAACAAGCTTATCCCAAGAAGGCTCTGTACTTGGATTTGCACATTTTGTGTTACCTTCTAGCCTTGCTGATTTGAAGGGCACTATTGTTATGTACCTATTTCCCATACATAATTGCATCTTTTTACATTTTTCCTGTTTGTTCATAAGCCAGTGAAGGTTAGCTAATTACTGTAGCTTTATGGGTTCATTCACATGCCTGCATGGTTATTCCTTTCTCAAAATTCTCTTTTTATTAGTCTGTTCAAATGTTAACTGGGCATTAATTATCGACTGTTCCATGACACAAGTCTTAGGGACGTTGAAGATTTTCTTCATGAATCGAACACATTTTTTTAGACAGGGTCTTGTTATATAGTTTGTTATATGGCTGGCATATAAACTTTGTTTTCTTTTATTTAATCTCTTTAAGTAATACAAGAAAAATTTATAAAGATTGTTTCTTCTGCTGTATGAAGACTACTCAAATAAAATTAATTTTTTCCCCACAGGATGAATATTCCATTTTTCCTCAGACATACTCCATAGATATTAATGGTTATATTCTTGTGTATTCTGTTACATCAATCAAAAGGTAAGACTAGATGCTTGCTTGAGTTTATTTACTATGCATAGACCTTTTTAAAGGATTATACTAGAATTAATAGTAACAGAATTGGTTATTGCTTAAATGTTTTCAGTGACTTTTCTTGTGAAGCAATCAGATTATTATAGGGAGTCAAATCCTCAGTAAATTCCATTACACTGATAGAATAAAATCTGTTTACTTGCTCAAAGTGCCTAGGTTGTGACTGTGTGAGCTGAGCTTTCCTGCTGTTTAAATGGGAAATCGTGACTTGGTTTTATGTTTTGTGTGTTTTATAATATTAATATTGAACTGACTTATTAGGGACTTAAGTCTTTCCTGTGGATTTATGTAGTGAGACCTTTGAGTAATAGGGTTCTACTAACTAAAAATGCAGCCACTGTTGTTAGTGAGGATTGATTTTTTGTTTATTTAGCCACACATTTGTTACCAGGGATGACATCCATTGTCACAAAAAGGAGTGGTCTGCTGCAGTCAATATGTGAGAACTCATGACAATGGAAACATTTATCTTTGAAGATTTCATGGAAATGCCAGTATTTGTAGAAGTTTGGTGGCTAGCTGACATCTTTTCAGTGTGTGAAATGTCAGTTTGTCATACTGACTGCCTTTTTAATGATAAATTACTGATGCTGGGGAGATGACTCTGTTGATAAAGTATTTTTTAACTGTCTAAGTGTAAGCCTGAGTTTGGGTCCACAGCTGTCATGTAAAAAGTCAGATGTGGTATCATATGTCTGTAATATCATCACTGGGGCTTTAGAGATAGCCAGCCAGTCTAGCTAGTCAGCATGATCTAGGTACTGTATGACTCTGTCTCAACAAATCAATTAGAGAATGATTAAGGAAGGCACCTGAGGTCAACCACTTACTCATGAACACATAAAGAAAATAATTTTTAAAATAATCCTTTACTAACTACCACGAGTAACCCTTCTTCAGATGTCTCGTTTCTTATCTTCCCAGGAAAGAAATTAAACATTAAAATAAACAACCGACCCAGCATTTCATAGGCTGTGTGTGATGTTGATTCACTCATGCCTGGGTCTTGTACTCCACAGTCCAGGCCAGCTGTCCAGTAGAATTTGACTGCAGTGATGGAATTGTTCCATATTCTTGCTTTATATGACTACTAAAATTAGCTCAAATTTATCAAAATTGAAAGTTCAGTTCCTTAGTTACCCTAGCTACATTTCAGGTGCCCAGTCAGCCTCACATGACTTGTGGCTGTTTTATGTGTTGTAATTTATTTTAAAATGATGTGAAGAAAAGTCACACCATACAACAAGGCTCACATAGGAGGTTTATTTGAAGAGGAGAGAGAAGGGGCAGGCATGGGTCCCAGGAGACAAAAAAACAACAGAAGAAAAAGAGACAGGAGGTGGGTGGGCAAGGCCCACCTTTGAAAAGGAAACATAGTGACTATGCACTATGTGGCTGCAGCTGAGGGCTATCCCGTCAGAACCCAAGGGCAGGCTAATACAGATGGCTGAATACTAACATTATGGGGCAGTATCTAGGGTCTTAACCACTACACAGTATTGCCAGCAGAAATTAGATTCTCCTCTTGCATGTGTGTAAGTTTCTGCATTTTTCTCCCTGGCAGGGGCTCATATATTGAGGTTTTGATGTGTAACTGGAAGCCAGGTACTGCTGGTCCTTGTTTTATACCTTAGTCAAAATGAACTTGGCCATTTCCATGTTCCTGAGAAACAATTGAAGAGATGTGGAAATAGTTCTGGGGATATCCAAAAGGATGCTATTAACACTGCACTAATCTGTATTTTCTTTTGGTTTGGTTTTTTTGTTTTGTTTTGTTCTTTTTCTTTCACTGAGCCATTTTTTTCATGTCCTACTTAACTAATTTGGGACTTGATTTTACTTGTTTGTTTGTTTGTTTTCTTTTTTCTTGAAACAGGGTCTCACAGTAGCATTGCTAGTCCTAAAACTCACTATGTAGACCAGGCTGGCCTTGAACTCACGGAGATCCACCTGCCTCTGCCTCTGGAGTGCCAGAATTAAAGGGTTTGTCAGAATGCCCAGATGATCTTTTTAATTTTCAAGAACATCCTAAATAGTTAAAGGTTTAGTTCTGTTTTTTATATTAATTACAACAATTTTTGAAATAAGAATAAAGTTATTCTTAGCCCTCATCTGTTCAGTAATGTATTTGTTTATTTGATGCAGGGTCTCAATATGCAGCCCTGATTGTCCTAAAACTCATACTTAGACCAGGCTGGCCTCAAACTCACATGCCTGTGCCTCAGGAGCACTGAGATTAAAGGTGAACACTACCACACCAGGCAAGATAGGGTTTATTTTGGTTCACAGTTTAAGGGAATCCTCATCCAATGATAGTAGGAGCTTGGTGACAACTGGCCACATTGTGTCCAGTCAAGAATCAGAACAGTGAATGCCGGCTCTCATCTAGTGTTTTCTTTTTATGGAGTCAGGCCCTAAATTTAGGGTCTGCTGATGCCCACTATTAGGTTGTCTTCTCCTCTCTCAGCCAGTCTAATTAAGGTCATCCTTTGGGTGTGTCTAGGGCAGGCCTCCTAGGTGAGTCTAGTTGATACTGACCAGCACATTCATATATTTTCACTTTTACTATTGTTTGTAAATTAATTTTATATGATTGTTAGAAAATGTGCTACTTTATTGTTACTTTGTAGAGTTAGTGTATTAAGGAGTAATTTAGGGGTGGGGATTGGTGTTGTGAGACAATTTCTTTGTGTAGCCCTGGCTGTCTTGGAACTTACTCTGTAGACCAGGCTGGCCTTGAACTCAGACGCCTACCTCTTCCTCCCAATTTGTGGTTTTTAAAGGCATGTGTCGCAATACCCTGCTGAGAAATTTTCTTAATGCATTTGTTGATTCCTTTTATTGGTGTTTTTATTTTTTTTATGTGTATCAGGTAGATGATATTTTGGTTAGAAGTAGCGTTTGATGTTACATTTATTGTTACCTATTTTAAAAAATAGGGAAACTTGGGCTGGCAAGGTGTGTGTGTGTGTGTTTGTATGGGTGTTTTGCCTCAGTATGTGTCTGCCCTACATGTGTGCAATGCCCTGGAACTGGAATTACAGGTGGTTGTGAGCTGCCGTGTAGGTGCTGGGAAGCCAGGTTCTCTATAAGAACAGCAAATGCTCTTATGCTCTGAACCATCTCTCCAGCCCTATTTTTTTTTTTTTTTTTTTTAAGACAGGATCTCCCTGTGTACGAAGCAGTTCTGACTCGCCTTCCCAAATGTTGGGATTACAGGCATGAGCCATCCACCAACATGGGCAGAACATTATCTATCTATCTACAAGTCATAGCCATTATTTTTTGTGAAGTAAAGCAGAGATCTTACATTATTCCTTTGTATCATGAAGTTTGTAGGATTGTTTCTTGTAACATCATAAAGCAAAATACCTTCTGTTCTCAGTTTCTAGAAATGGGGAAAGATTACAGGTCAGAGAGAATGGAAACTTTGGGTTTTCACTTATTCTAACAATGTAGGACAGGTCACTTTGCAGTGCCTTAGTGTGGCATCTTCAGAAATAGATTCATTGTGATAGACAGCCTCTCTGTCTAAAACAGTGCTTAATGGAGCTGACATAGTAGCATGTGCTTGTAAACCCAGCACATGTGAAGCTGAAACAGGTAAGGATCTGGAGACAAGCTTGGGCTGCCTAAGACCCTAATTGAAGTTCAAGCTCTAGGACCTGAGGTGGAGGTTGAGAAGGTGTCCTCTGACCTACACAGACACACCAGAAAAAATTTAAAACCAGTGTTTTCATGTGATAGAAATAAAAATTGTTTGAAGAAAGCAAAAGTTTGTTTGCTTTTAATTGAAATTCTGTCTACTACATGGCTATCTGCAGTATGACAAACTACTTGAAAATGTATATGCTTAAAACAGTACACAGATCTGTTTCCTGGCTCAAGCATGTGGGTGTGGCTAGCTGGGTCTTTGACTTCAGGCTTGTCGTGTGGGTTTAGTGTTGGATGGTGCTCTTATTTTCTTTTTGGATGAAAACCATCCATTTGTCTAAATAACCTTCCCCATCAGGACAAGCACACAAAATTAATTAGAATCTGCAGCAAGATGGAAATAAAGATAGGCTCAAGCCTCCATGGTACCCAATACCATTGTTGTGTTATGGTCATTGTTAGGCAGTCACTAGGCCAGCTCTCACCAGGAGGTATCAGGGAGGTGTCTTTACTATAGAGAAAGCTGTTTCCCACTGGCTCCCACCCAGTCCCAGCCTTCCCAATTGTCTCATGTGGCTAGCTACTGTATCTCTTCATTCAGTGTAGGCAAATGCAACCAAGCTAAGGGAACTGTGGATCGAAGGACAGCTGTAGAAATGGGGGTGCCCTATCCTGTTGGTGAACTTCAATGGGGTAAAGTTTAATTTTCATCAGTATCAGTATGTGTGATATGATCAGCAGTCTTTGTTCAAAGCTTGAACCATCTTGGGGTTTCTTATATCTGTCCCTGACAGTGGTACTGTGATAGAAAAAAATCAAAGAAGGGGATGAGAGCTGTGGAAGCTTGTGGGTTTATGTAGGGAGAAAAGTATAAAAAGAGCCATTGAAGGCTAGAGAGCATGCACTGCTCTTGTAAAGTACAGTTCCTAACACTCACATTGGGCAGCCCACAGCAGCCTGTAACTTCTGCTCCTGGGGTTCCAGTACTCTGTTGAAGATTATGCAGATACCCACACACACAGACACATATACATAACTTAAAAATAAATCTGAGGAAAGAAAGCCATAAAGTAAAGACTTGGAAATAAGTAAGGGAGCATGCTCAAGGATCTCAAGGGAGAGGACATTTCAGTGGGATGGCCTGGCAGTGCTGGAGGCCCAGCATAAGGGACAAGGGACAGAAGGAAAGGAAACCAAGTTAGGGCTTGGGGTCATCCAGGTGGGAGCTAGCCATAGGAAGAAGCACAGAGCTGGGCCAAGGGACACAAAGCAGTGGAAGGCTGTCTGGTTCTGAGCAGCTTCAAAAGTAATGCAGCATGTGCTGGCTGATGCTCACACCAGGTTTTCTGAGAGAGGATGGGAATGACTTGTCCCATTAGCCAGTGGTCAGAGGTGTGGCAATGATTTTAAGTTAATCACTGTGGCATGTTTAAGGATCATCAGCATATCGATAGCAATAAAGTCAAGGTTTTGCATCACCCAGTGAATGATGGTTCGTAGAAAAGGAGGGAGCCAGCTGTGGTCACATGCCAGCACTAGGGAGGCAGGGACAGACAGAACTGGCCACACCTGATCTATGTAGCAAATCCCATCAAGACCACTTCAAAAACAAAGGAAAGCAAACAGCACTGATCTCTAGGGAACACTCCCTCAGAAAAGTTCTACAGATTTCCATTTAATGGATACAGTTTGAGGATCAAGTCCATGTTCTTGTGGTTTGTCAGCCTGGTGCTAGACTTAAATGGCATAAACCTGTCTTACTTTGTATAGTCTCAGTAAGGATCACTGAGTGCCATCTGTGCTATATTTTTCTCACTTAAACTTCCTCATTAAATGATGTATGTTCCCGTGCTTTTGTTTTGTAGTTTTGAAGTAATTAAAGTTATCCACGGCAAGTTGCTGGATATGGTGGGGAAAGTGCAGTAAGTAGCTCTGTCTCTTCTCTAGACATGTGTACCAGCATCTCTTGAGCTGGAAAGGCTGGACCTGACCTACCTCTCTCTTGTCTTTCTTCTAATAGGATACCCATTATGTTGGTTGGAAATAAGAAGGACCTGCATATGGAAAGGTATGTAGCTCTTAAGTCTAAGGAGATTTAGTCAGCAAAATACCATTTTAAAATTCTTTTCCCATGGCCAAACATTTGTCACTGTGTACAGCAGAAGCAATATGCAGTACAAATGCCACACTTGTTTAGAATGAGGAGCAAACTGGGAAATTTTCTTGGGGTTAGTTACCAAGACAGATATTATTCCGTTTTCATACAGTACTGATTGTGTACTGATTGTGATCACAGTGATGAACAGGGGCAGGAACACCGTGTGTGCAGAGAGCATTGGGAGGAGCCTAGAATAGCCTAGGCTGGTGGACAGTGGCCCTAGTGGGATTTTGCCGGGCCCTGGGTTGCTTAAACCCTCACTGTGGCATGGCCATCGTGACTGATGCTGCAGTACTGGAAAGCAGTCCCTGAACTGAAAGAGCTCGTTGGCATGTAGATGACCCTTGAGACTTATCCATTCTGTCCCAGCCCAGGCTGGACTACGTGCTCCTGCCGCTTCCTGATAGTGGAAGGGAAACACATAGTTCTGCTTCATAGCAGAGTGGGTCAGAGTGGAGCCTACTTGATAAATAATCATAGCTGTTTTATATATATATCAAAGACAAGGTTTTCTTTTCCCTTTAGGGTGATCAGTTATGAAGAAGGGAAAGCTTTGGCAGAATCTTGGAATGCAGCTTTTTTGGAATCTTCTGCAAAAGAAAATCAGGTATATAGTTTCTAAATATTAATTTTGTGTCAGCCTCATTAGTTACAAGCATACATTCCTCCAGTTGGCATTTTATCTGTTGTTTTTAACCCTGTTTATTTAATTTTTAGCCTCCTGCCATTTGTAACTCCAACTTTGGGGTGTTTTAAAAAGAGTCTAATTTTTTTAAGTTTAGTAAGTCTTCTTAAAACCATTCTACAGAAAAGAACATACTTACTGTGAGCATATTATTGCTACTGTGGCTGTGTCCATAGGCTAGAGCAGAAATAAGTTATACACAAGGAGAATTAACTGCATTACAACTATGTTCCTTTTCAGTAGAAAGTGAGTCAGGTGCATGGTTGTTTTAGGCACAGATTATTGAGTCCTTTGGTTGACATTTTCAGCCCTGTGGCTATCCTTCTGGGAGGGGGGAGTCATTTCTGTACTAGAAGGCTTCACGGAACTGCTGTTTCTTTTTAGTCATAGCTTTGGTGTAAGCTTGTCGCTTTGCCCAGACCTGTGGTGCCTGTGCTGTACTGCTGCCTCCATCCCCGTGTTCTTCTTCCCCTGCCTGATCTACTGCAAGTTGCAAACCACGTTTCAGCCTCTAGAGGAGGCCTTAGCATGTGGCAGCCTGTGCTGTGCTTTCCAGTCACTCCACATAGACTTCTCCCGATTCTTTAAGCATAGACAGGACATTCCTTAGACTTCAAACATCTGCATCCATTGTGTTCTTGCAGGCTCTGGTAGTCCATATTATTTAAGTAGGTGTGTGGAGGAGAGCATGGTGTTCTCTTGTAGAAGCAACTTCTGTTTCCCAGTGATTTACAGAGCAAGGGCTTAACCATAAGCCAGGGTCAGGGAGGAAAGACATGAGAGGGCCAGGGCTCAAAGCTTCTCTGCTGAGGGACTGTAGCCGAGTCAATTTATACAGGGTCACAGGTGTCAGTCCTGTGTGTGCCACCTCCCCAGAGCTCCTGCCATAGCTCCAAAGTGAGCGGGCATGCACGTGTTCCCCTGGGCAGTGCTGACGTGGTAGTAGACACTTTCAGGGTAAAGGGGTTCAGTGCTGTGAGACCAAAGCTAACCCAGGGAAAAGAAGAGAAGTGGTTAGCCGCAGAACAGGAGTAAGACGCCAGGCCTGCAGGGCTTAGCATTATGGACTGAGCTAGGAGGTTAGTGTGGTTAGTGTGGTGGGTCACATAAAGTAAGACTGGGGTGACAGTCACTAGAGAAGGGACTAGGACTGGGAAAGGGATTTTGCTAGAACTTGGCTAGACAGGTTTGTAATTGGTGGCGTGGTGCCTAGGAAGAATGAACATGGGTGATTGAGGGCTTGCAGGCAGCTGTAGAAGCGGCCCAGGGAGGTGGGGTGTACAGAGAGTCAGGGCTGGGAGTTTGGGGGAAGCCAAGAGGAGGGTAGGGCTGCCGGGCATCTACAAGGGAAAATGAAGCCAGAGTAGAGCAGGGCCCCAAATACCTAGAGAACATCATGGGAGTGTATGGGGCAGAGCAGAGCGGAAGCTGGTGCTAGTTGCTGTGAAGAAAGCCCTGGGGTTGTGGTGCTTCTGGGAACCCTCCAACCTCCATTGTCCTGGAACCTCCATGGGGGCCTGAGGACAGGTCAGTGACTCCCTCCTCAGGAAAGAGGCTGTCATGAGCTGCCACCAGTCCACTGAGAACTAATGCTGTCATTGCTTTTGCCTTCTCTTCAGACTGCTGTTGATGTTTTTAAAAGGATAATTTTGGAAGCAGAAAAGATTGATGGGGCAGCTTCACAAGGAAAGTCTTCATGCTCAGTGATGTGACGATTCTGCTACAGAACCCGAGGACACTGGGAATTTATTCCACCTGAAGAAGCAAACTGCCCGTCATCCTTGAAGATAAAACTGTGCTTCTGTTTTCTTCTGTTAACCTGAAAGATGTCATTTGGGTCAGAGGTCCTCCCCTTTCAGATTATGTTAACGTCTGACTCTGTCCAAATGAGTTCACTTCCATTTTCAAATTTTAAACAATCATATTTTCAATTTATATATTGTATTTCTTAATATTATGACCAAGAATTTTATCGGCATTAATTTTTCAGTGTAGTTTGTTGTTTAAAATAATGTAATCATCAAAATGATAGACATGTTACACTACTATTAACTAGGCTTCAATATATCAGTGTTTATTTCATTGTGTTAAATGTATACTTGTAAATAAAATAGCTGCAAACCTTAATCTTGTGCTACATGATGTGGCTTTTAAAGCAGGAACCATGACGGGCTGAAATGAGGTATAATGGTGCACATCTTTAATCCCAGCACTCAGGAGGCATGGGCAGGTAGGTCAAAGCCAGCCTGATCTTTATAGGGAATTACAGACTAGCCAGAGCTACATGGAAAAACAAAACAAACAAAAAAAGAAATCATACTCTGGGAGTTTCTCCCCTGGCATTCAGGAGGCTCTGTATAGGTTCCAAGAACTCAAGGAGGGTGAAGCCATCAGGGTAGGTACTTGCTGATTGTGTGGCCTCTGCCGAAGCCATCAGGGTAGGTACTTGCTGATCGTGTGGCCTCTGCCGATAGGCTAGCAGCCACGGGCTGCACTTGTGTTGCCAGTAGACGCTAGGGATGGGTTCTAGCAGATCAGAGAAGCTGAGTGGCCTGGGAGTCTTTGATCAGAGTTATTCTTCAGTTGTGTCTGCTCTGTCCTTTTCACACAGGTCCTAAACTGGTAGGAGCTGATCGGGGAGGATTGACCGTTACCTGACAGCATTGTTTACACTCTCTTTTCCTAATGTTGAAGACACATTTCATCCCTCCTTGCGCTAGCTTGGTGTCCCATTGGACAAGGCAGGATTTAGAAAATATGTCTGAACTGGGTGTAGTAGGGCAAATCTTTAATTCCAGCACTTAGGAGGCAGAGGCACGTACATCTCTAAGTTCAAGTATGGCTTGCTCCACAGAGTGGGTTCCAGAACAGCCATGGCTACACAGAGAAACCCTTGTCTTGCAAAAGGGATGGAGGGAGGGATGCCTTTTATCATTCCAGCACACTTGTCAGTTTAGATGGTGGGTGGGCTTTAGCAGCAGATGCCGATGTATGGGCTCTACAGGCCTCATTCCTCCTGCCCTGTTAAGATGAGGCTTGAAGAAGGGGATTCTTGGAATTCTAATAGCATGCCCGTTTCCACCTGCTCAGTGAGTCAGACTTAGTACTGAGTGTGCTTTTTTCTTATTCTGAGTTGTTTTTGTTTTCTTTTTCTTATTCCTTGACAATACCATACTTATATACAGTGTTTCTTGATTCTATCCACCCCTGACAATTTGTCTCACTCCACCTTCAACACATCCCTCTTACATCATGTTCTCCAGTCTAGATACTGCTGCCTATTGGAATCTTAACTAACCTTACCACCTTGATCTTATGTAGGTAGATATACTGTACTGAATTCATTTGTGCAATGACCATGTCATGCCTAGAAGACAGCATTTCACAGCATCCTCCCATCTTATGTTCTTTCTGCCTGCTTTTCCACAATTTCCCCTGAGCCTTTACAGGGAAGATGAGCTAGCTTTGTAAACAGAGCCCTTTCCCAGTTAAAATTTCACAGGGCCATTTCTAATACCAAATAGATGCTACAGCTGACTAAATGAAATACTTGTCTCTCAGAAGGTAGTAACCTGGGCTGTGGGCACTGCCCAAAGTGTGAGAGCTGATGGGTTCCCTCCTCTTCCATTTACCCTTGCAGCTGGTAAGTACTGTTACAAGAGATGTCTAGGGAGATGGCTCAGTTGGTAAAGTGCTTATGCAAACATGAGGACCAAAGATCACATTCCCAGTTATACAAGCAAAACAACAAAAAAAACAGTAATCCCTGTACTGGGGAGGCGGAGACATTAGGGTTCCTAGGGCTTGCTGCCAACCATTTTAGCTAAATTGGAGAGCTCTGGATAGTGTGTCATAAAAGGTAAAGTTTATCTTGGTGGCACATGAAAGTAATCTTAGATTCATTGAGCTACAGGAAGCACAAATGTAAAACAAGGTTTATGTTTAAAAATATTTTACAGCTCAAAATTGAATTTCAAAATACAAGTAAAATCACATTACAAGATAAGATTTACATGAGGGGATTCTGCTAAGGCAGCCATCTGCTGCACCCTCCGCGGTCTGCCATCTCCAGCTCCCTGCATATGCTTCCTTAGAAGATGCTTATCGCCTCAGAGCCCCCAGATGCTCATGTGTTCTACTGGCTTCATGGTCACATTGCATACTTTGTACCGCCGTGTTTGAATCTGTTTGGTCTGTGTTCCCTAGTGTCCTCCAGTGACTTGTTGGCCCACTAGTCTTGCCAACGGCTCTGTTCAGCCTCTCCCTGGGCCTTTCCTGCCCTCACCCTTTGCCTTGATTTTATTTCTTCATAGTTTTAACGGATGCCTAAGGCTGGAGAATCTCTGAGTTTGAAGCCAGCCAGGACTACATAGTTCCAAAAAAAAAAAAGAGGAGAAAGAGACCTTGTTTCCAAAAAAAAAAAAAAAAAAAAAAAAAAAAGGTAAAGGAAGAGAAGGGGAAAAACTCTTAAGAGTTTTCTATCCCTATCATCTCTGCACTCCAGGTTTATCTACATGGGCATTTCTAGAGTGTTTTCTTTTGTTGTTTTCATTTTGGGTATCTTGTATGCAGCCCTGGCTGGTCTCAAACTCAGTCTGTACATAGAAAATTCTGAGGGCTGGTGCTGCAGTGTGTGTCACCATACCCAGCAATCTAACACGTCAAAACTGCGTCTGCCTCCAACGTCTCAGGAAGTGGTTCGTTGTCCACGGTGCTCACAGCAACTTTTCCAGCCTCTGCCCTGCTCTTCCCCACCTCGTCCATCCAGATCAGCATTTGCACACACTCCATTTTATGATACCTTGACAACCTGACTCCTCCAACTTACTATACAGGCAGCGCTATTATGGATAAAACAGTTCCTCTACCTCCCAGAATCCTTCACCAGTAATTATGCCAAGTCCAGGCTATCCATCAAGGCCAAGTGTGCTTTTGCTGCTGTTTCCGCGACCCTAAGCTCACCATCCATAACAGGCTCAGGCCTATAACCTGCATGTGCCCTTCCCACTGCTGCTAGGCTTCAGTGTCGTGTCTTCTAGAGGCTTCCATGTTCACCTGGAGCACCCTTGCTGTGTTCACGCCCTGGTGAACAGGCACTTTCTACTGAACTGCTTCAAGTCCCTACGTTGTCACTTACCTCAGGATAAGTGGAACTACAAAGAGACAACGTAGGGACTTGAAGCAGTTCAGTAGAAAGTGCCTGTTTCACAGCTTCAGGTGTGTGGCTAACGAGGCAGAACGGGAGACACTGTGATCCAGTAACAAGGCACATACTTGCAAGGACCCTGGCAATGACCAGCTCTGACATCTGCTGTTAAGGATGAGACACCAGAGAGCACGCAACTCACATTAATACCAACTTGGTTTCAGTAGCTAGTGGAAGCGAGCGTGTATAGCTCCATTCACTCACCCTTGTTTCTGCTGCCACTGTCCTGAAATGACACTTTCATATACTGAATGCCTTCACCAGACTTGTAATTGCTTATTTAAAATGTGGGAGACAAAAGCCAGATGGGTTGGCATGCCTTTAATCGCAGCACTCAGGAGACAATGATAGCCTGATCTATAGAGTTCCAGGACAGCAAGGGCTACACAGAGAAAACCTGTCTTAAAAGCAAAACAAAATACCAGGAATGGAACAAAGGCCGTAGGTTCAATCCCCAGCACTGCAGAAAAAAAAAAGGGGGGGTGACCCATTTGTCATTTTATCTTACCTGTTTTTAAAGTTTTGTTATGTGCACATGTGTGTGATTACCCATGGAGGCCAGAAGCATCAGACACCCCTGAAACTATAGTTACAGATGGTTGTGTATGCTGGGAATCAAACCTGTGTCCTTTGCAAAAGCAGTGTATGTTCTTGACTACTGAGCTATGTCTCCCACCCCTATCTCACACTTCTGCAGACATCCTTGGTTCTTTGTGTAAGTTGCAGTTCCTGTCTAGTGGTCCTTTGTCTCAGCCTGCAGGGTACTTAGTATTTCCTATGGAACAGGACCTCTAGTGATGAGTTCTCTTATGTTCTGTTCCTGAGGAGCCATCTTGAGGGTCCCAGGCTCTGGAGAGTCCCACTGCCAGCCACTTGGCCAGCCTTCTCAACACTCTGCACATAGCAGGGATACAGATTGTTCATTTCGGAGTTCTAGGAAGGTTACTTTGGGGCCAGTTCTTGCCAGCCTTCCCATTGGGTACTGAGGCCAATCACGGGCAGTGGTGACCCACCTGGGGAATGCATACACACCTCTGTAGCCTGTCTCCTGCAGGTCCTGAGGCTGCTACAGTGGAAGCCCTGCATGTGTTCACTGTATGGCAGCATCATTTAGCCTCCAGTTATTATCGGTCCCTCTATCTCCTCACTTGTTACCCACTACTGTGCGTGATACAGACTCAGAATGTATGTATCACTGTCCGGAGGTCTGAAAGATGCAGGACACCCAGAATATGCTGCTACTGCTTATTCTGAAGAGGGGTGTCCTCCCAAAAGTCCATAGTGCCTGTGGGCCTGAGAAATTAGTGCTTCCACCCAAGGCATCTCTAGAGGAACAGGCTGGTGGCAGGCCAGCTCCGTAATGCACCTTTGGGCTTAATGCCTTGCAAAACATTCTTCAGAACATTCCAGAACTGCCTTTCCATCTCACAAAGGGAAGGTTTTTGTTTTTTGTTTGTTTTTATTTTGGTTGGTTTTGGTTTCTCTGGTACAGGGTTTCTCTGTATTGTTATGGAGCCTGTCTTGGAACTAGCTCTGTAGACCAGACTGGACTCAAAATCACAGAGGTCCGCCTGCCTCTGCCTCCTGAGTACTGGGATTAAAGGCGTGGGCCATCAACACCCGGCAAGGAGAAGGTTTTGCATGAAGCAAAATGGTGTGTTCTTGCCCTCCTTCTTCCGCCTCCCACTTTTGCAGCTGATGTGGACCAGGCTGAAAAAATCCCGGGCTCAGGTAACCTCTTGCTATTTACTCAGGTGAGGTCTATAGTTCAAAAGGGTCTAAGGGCAGAGATCCCTTCTTAGCTATTGTTTTCACTGTGCCATGCTTGAATATAACTGAGCCTGACACCCAGGCACCTCAGTTTTAGTAGCTAGACTAAGAGTACCCCAGTTCTGCATCTGGTGTGTGCCTTTGGGCAAGT